TCCTGATTTGTCACCTACCGACCCTTGTTCGGGGGACCTTATACACTTTCATATCTCTAATCAAGCTTTGGGAGGTCAACTGTCACCCAAGACACTTAAATTTTCTGGTTCTATACATGGCCACCCAGTTACAATCCTCGTGGATACAGGAAGCTCTCATAACACCCTTCAACCAAGGTTAGCTCACTACCTTAACTTGACAATCACTCAAACTCCTCAATTTTCGGTTATGGTGGGAAATTATGCCCACATTTATTGCAGTGGCCTATGTGAAGACACCCTGATACTACTCCAAAAATAGGAATTTCGAATTCCATTCTATTTACTCCCGATAAAGGGAGCCGATGTGGTTTTGGGAATTGAGTGGCTTCGTACAATCGGACCAATTGTGTCTGACTTTTCAGTCCCAAATATGCAATTCATTGTGGCACAAAATCAGATTACACTTACTGGGGAAAACTCTTATAACATTCAGCACTCCACCTTCCACCAATTTTTTAGACTTGTACAAACTGACAATATAGCCTCCTTTCATGCAATAACCATTATGGCCACAAACACACTACCTACCCAGCCTTCTACTACTCCCACACTTTCCATACACCCACATATCCAACCACTATTAGACATATTTCATTCTGTTTCTACCAACCCATCCACACTACCGTCACCTAGACCTCATGATCACCGTATACCCTTTATTCCTAATTTTCCCCAGTTAATAGTAAATCCTATAGATACCCTCACTCTCAAAAAGACATCATGACCACCATGCTACAAGAAATGCTAGAAACTAGAATGGTTGTGCCAAGAACGAGTCCCTTCTTGTAAGGATCCAAATTCTACCATTGAAAATTTTTCTTTATTTTAATCCAGTTATACCTACATTCATCTTTACACTTTGATCACTCATTAATCATTACTTAAAACTCTTTCAACATGTCATACTACAACAATCTTCATATGACAGAAAAACATTGCACTCATATCATCCCCATGGGTACTAAGAACCCAAAGGTTATAATTCTCAAAAATAGAAGTACACATGGTTACGAATATCCAAATCTATGTTAACCAGGGTTACAATCATTCAAATCCGCAAGTAGTCATTTAAAGTACAAAAACGTAAATAATGAATCCAAAGTCTAAAGCTCCTAAAGCTCCCAACCAAGCATCCCCATTTTATTTGTTTACCTGCAATGGGATTTTCAATGACAAATACACAAAACACGCACAAGAGTAAGTCGTTAATTCAATAATTATCATTATAAGATAATCCACATTCTTAAATATAAATAAGCATTGAAGTGAAACATGTTTCATAATTACATAAATATAAACGTTCAACGGATACTTGGATGAATGAACTTCTTGACCGAAATATTCAAAATGTCCATACCTTGTCCTAAAAGCAGTTTTAGGAATGTCTTCCGACTTTACACGAAGTTGGTGGTATCCTGACCGAAGATCAATCTTCGAAAACACTACCGCTCCTTTCAATTGATCCATCAAGTCATCAATCCGAGGCAACGGATACTTGTTCTTGATAGTAACTTTGTTCAGTTGTCGGTAGTCAGTACACAACCACATACTACAATCTTTCTTATTAACCAACAAAACAGGCACTCCCGATGGCGAGACACTAGGATGAATGAACTTCTTTGCCAATAATTCCTCAACCTGCTTTTTCAGCTCAGCAAATTCTAACGGTGCCATCCTATAAGGAGCTATAGAGATGGGTCTCGTTCCAAGTACCAAATCAATAGAGAATTCCACTTCTCTTACTGGAGGCAATTCCAAAATATCACCAGGAAACTCACGAACTATCGGAATGTCCACAATCTTGGGTTTCTCAATACCCTCCAGGGATGCCAACAACATGAACACGGCTCCTCCCTCCTTACAGGAAGTCTTGACTTCCTTTGCCGATAGCGGCTTCATGGTACCAACCTCATCAGAAATCTCATCTAAATTCCCGAATACCACGGTCTTATCAGCAGAATTAAGCACCACATGATTCGCCGACAACCAGTCCATCCCCAGAATTAGATCTGATTGGGATAGTGATAAGCAGATTAAATCCACGGTAAAAGTCCTACCGTTTACCACCACCGGACATCGAGACACAAATGTCGACACCACCACAGGCACATCAGTTGGGGTGGATACGACTAAGTCGAAAGGCAACGACTCAGTTTGCAATTTCAGTCTATCCACACATTCAATAGATACAAAGGAGTGTGTCGCTCCCGAATCAAACAACACTAAAAGAGGGATACCTGCCACCATGCAATTACCTTTTATCAGGCCATCTACACCCAATGTCTCTGCACCACTCATGGTGAACACTCTACCAATGGTTCGAGGTCGTTCAGCCCTCACAGCATTCACGCCCTACAGTAGCTTTGGACAATATTGTTTGATGTGCTCAGCTTCCTTACAGTGGAAGCAGCTAAGTGTCGTCCTAGGTCACAACTCACCAATTTCATTCTTGCTGCACTTGTTGCAAAAGGACGGAGACTGAACTTGTGATCCTCCCGCCTTCGCATGTGGCCTCGGCCCATGCGAACTATTTCCCCGATTCCCAGCAGTAAGGGAGTATGGTTTTTGTTCCTCTCGGAAAACCTTATCCTTCCACTTTCCATAACTCCTTTGAGGCCCAAAGTATCTCGGAGGATTGGTTCGAGGAGTCACCACTTCATCTTTAGTCAGGTCGTCCTCATACATCCTGCACTTGTTTACCAGGGTGGCAAAATCCGCGATTTCTTGATGCCCGAACATCCTTTTTAGCTTGGGCTTCAGGCCCGATTCAAACTTAGAACATTTGGACCTCCTGTCTACTTCCAACTCAGCGTATGGACAAAACCGGGCCAATTCCTCAAACTTGGCCGCATACTCTCCCACAGACATGTTACCCTGCTCCAACCTCAGAAACTCCATTTCCTTCGTCCTCTTCAGATCAGCAGGAAAATATTTCTGAAGGAATTTCTCCTTGAAGGAAATCCATGTAATCACTCGCCCCTCCATTTCCATCTACCGCCGAGTAAATTCCCACCAATTTTCAGACTCCTTCATCAACATATAAGAAACATACGTCACCTTCTGAACGTCACTACGACCCATGGCTCAGAATATGCGTTCCAAGTTTTGAATCCACTCGTTCGCCGCATCAGGAGCGAACCCACCTTGGAAATGGTTAGGATTCTGCTTGCGGAACTCATTCAACCCACGGTACTCGGCCGGCCCCGGTGGAACTAAAGGTTGCGAGCTAGGACTTGGCGCGGGGTTCGGGTTCAGATTGTGCAAGTTCTTGTCAACCTATTGTAATGTCGCCACCATCTGTGCCAACAGGTCGTTCGGAACATTCTAACTCGCTCCTCTTCCTCTTCCTGCCATAGGTACCTGTACTCAAGTACTAGTCAGTAAACACTTTTCTAATAAGGTGAGTGTCACATAACCACACAACAGTCAATGCCAACTAAGCAATTCAAGCACATACAGATCACAAAGAAGCATGTAAGGCCATACCCTAGGCCGCATAATTAACTATGCTCTGATACCATATTGTAAGGACCCAAATTCTACCCTTGAAAAGTTTTCCTTTATTTTAATCCTTTTATACATACACTCCACATCTTACTCTAATTTTCCCCATAATCACTCCGTAAAACTACCTTTATAGTACATTATATTAACATATATCTCATGTTGCGGAAAACGTAATTCATATATGACTTTCATCGGTAATTACAGCATATGTTTAACTATGGGTTTCCAAAACACCCATAGTTACTAATATCCAGCATTACACAAAAATGTAGTAAGTTAAATGGTTACGAATACAGTCATCCAAATAGCAATTTTACAACACAAAAAGCAAAAATAGAGGATCCAAGTCCTAAGCTCCCAAAGCCTCGAACCAAGCATCCTCAACTACTCTGTTTACCTGTAATGGGATTATCAATGGGAAATACACACAACATACAAAGGAGTAAGTCATCAAAACAATAAATACCATTATAAGATAATCCACATTTCAAAGGGGTTAGTAAACCATTTGTTTTATAAATTCATTTATGCTACATTAATTGAGCCAAAGTTTTGCTACATAGATTAAGGCAAAGCATCACTACATAACTTGAGACAAAGTATCGCTACATAACTTGAGCCAAAGTATCGCTACATAACTTGAGCCAAAGTATCGCTACATAATTTGAGCCAAAGTATCGCTACATAACTTGAGCCAAAGTATCGCTACATAACTTGAGCCAAAGTTTTGCTACATAGCTTGAGCTAAAGCATCGCTACATAACTTGAGCCAAAGTATCGCTACATAACTTGAGCCAAAGTTTTGCTACATAACTTGAGCCAAAGCATCGCTACATAACTTGAGCCAAAGTCGCTAACCAATTATGGTCGGCTAAAAACATATTTTCTTTTCATTGATACATCATCAATTCGTAAACCGTAAATCCACGCGTTCCATTATCATAAACATACCCATATATGTTTACCATAACTAAGCGATTCATCACTTTATCTTTATACACAATCAGAAAATCCACATATTATCCATTTCAATATGCTATGTATAGACTCCTCCTTACCTTGGTGAGTGTTGGGTTTGGTTCTTGGCAACTTCGGAAGTTCCACTGACACCTCCTCCAACTTTAGGATCTCTTCTCAAGCTTCTAAATGACCCACAAGCCTTCTTGCTCTTGAAAAAGCTTTCTTCCCTCACTTCTCTCTAGGTTAACCCTCATAAATGTGTTTGGGGTTCCCTATTTCATGTAACAGCGTCGGGTTCTCGCTTAAGCGAGCCTTTTCTCGCTCAAGCGAGAAAATCCCGCATATTTTAAAAACTCAGATCTGACCCTCTCGCTCAAGCGAGAATCTTACAGTCTCGATAGGTCCAAAACATCACTTTTCTCGCCTAGGCGAGCCAACCCTCGCTCAGGCGAGAATCCTCCAGTATAGCCCAGGATTTCAACCTTCCAGTTGAGTCTTTCTCTCTCAAGCGAGCCAACTCTCGCTCAGTCGATAATCCTCCAGTATAGCCAAGGATTTCACCCTTCCAGGTGAGCCTTCCTCGGTTAGGCGAGAATTCCTCGCTCAAGCGAGAATCTCAGGATTGATACTATAATTTTTAAAGACGTAAATTTAGGGTGTTACATTCAACATGTCATACTACAACACTCTTCACATGACAGAAAAACATAATACATTCATATCATCCCCCAAGAGTACTAAGAACCCAAAGGTTAAATTCCTCAAAAATAGCAGTACACATGGTTACGAATATCCAAATCTATGTCAACCAGGGTTAAATCATTCAAATCCGCAAGTAGTCATTTAAAGTACAAAAACGTAAATAATGAATCCAAAGTCTAAAGCTCCTAAAGCTCCCAACCAAGCATCCCCATTTTATTTGTTTACCTGCAATGGGATTATCAATGACAAATACACAAAACACGCAAAGGAGTAAGTTGTTAATTCAATAATTATCATTATAAGATAATCCACATTCCTAAATATAAATAAGCATTGAAGTGAAACATGTCTCATAATTACATAAATATAAACGTTCATATCTTCTGTCTTACAATTCCATATTATCCGTAATTGACCTATAGTATATATATCCCGTAATATATATTCTATAGCATGCATATTCTATTATTTCAAATACTTTTATTTCATCAATTACCATCGACATCAAGCTTACTCTTTACCACCTCCGGCCGTTTACACTGCACCGATATTCCGCTACCATTACGTGTAAGTCCTCAACTCACAATGTTCCACTACCACTTCGGGTAGGTAATTTCTCCAATGATCCACTACCACTTCGGGTAGGTAATTTCCCTTCAATGATCCACTACCATTTCGGGTAGGTAATTTCCTCAATGATCCACTACCACTCGGGTAGGTAATTACCCCAATGATCCACTACCACTTCGGGTAGGTAATTTCCCTCAATGATCCACTACCACTTCGGGTAGGTAATTTCCCTCAAAGATCCACTACCACTTCGGGTAGGTAATTTCCCTCAACGATCCACTACCACTTCGGGTAGGTAATTTCCCTCAATGATCCACTACCACTTCGGGTAGGTAATTTCCCTCAAAGATCCACTACCACTTCGGGTAGGTAATTTCCCTCAACGATCCACTACCACTTCGGGTAGGTAATTTCCCTCAATGATCCACTACCACTTCGGGTAGGTAGTTTTCCTCAATGATCCACTACCACTTCAGGTAGGTAATTTTCACAAAATCCATATTTAAAGGAGTTATTAAACCATTTCGAAATTCATTTTATTTACTGCATAACTTGAGCCGAAGTCGCTACACCCTTCAGGTTAGCTAAAAGCAGATTCTTATTTCTTTTAAAAAGAAAACGTGCTACATATACTCGACCCGGAGTTTCGCTTCATATACTCGAGCTGGAGTATTGCTTCATATACTCGAGTCGGAGTCGCTAACCATTCATGGTCAGCTAAAAATGTAGTTTCTTTTCGTTGATTTCACCATAAATCATCTCCCGTGAATCTCCGCCATCATTAGTATAAACACACCCATATATGTTTACACTAAATACGTGATTCACGACTTAATCATTGTACAACCAGAAAATACACACATTTTCTATTTTCGAATGCACAAGTAAAGACTTATCCTTACCTTGGTGAGCGTTGGGGTCGTTTTCGAGTAACTTTACAAGTTTCCTCCGCGATTTCCTCCAACCTTAGGAACTTTCCTCATTCCCACCAATAACAACAATGTCAGTCATGTATTCAAAACAACACATAAACAGCTCACATTTCATCTTTAAACATACAAGAGATTCACACATTTTGAAGGTTTCCAACATCTAAAACATACATATTCATCTCATATATCAACGTTAAAGCACATAATCATCTTCCACATTTAACATTTCACCCATTTCCCTTTCTACTCATATTCTCGTTTTGGGGGTTTTGGGGTTTTCATGAATGAACCTACAAAACCTCTCCATTCATCAAATACCAACTCTAAACCAAGAGTTTAGAAGAGAAAAACAACATAAAATGAACTGTAACTCTAAAGGAAGAGTTTCCATGGTTTCTCATACCGTGAGAAGAGATCCATACACCCAAAACAAGTTAGAGAGGAAGAAGAAGAGTTAGAAACAAGAGGTTTACCTCTTCTCAAGCTCTAAGATGATTTCTAAGGCTCTTTGCTCTTGAAAAGCTCTCATCTCTCTCTTCTCTTCAAAGTTCTAACCCGAAAATGTGTTTAGGGTTTCTAATCTAAAGTGAAATCATCGGGTTCTCGCTCAAGTGAGCCCATTCTCGCTCAGGCGAGGAAATCCTGCCTTTTTAAAATTTCAGATCTGACGCTCTCGCTCAAGCAAGGGATTTCTCGCTTAGGCGAGGCAGCTCTCGCTCAAGCGAGGATCCTCTCGCTCAAGCGAGGATCTTACAGCCTCGACAGGTCATGCCACTTTTCTCGCCCAGGTGAGACAACTCTCGCTCAGGCGAGACCACTCTCGCTCAGGCGAGAATCATTCAGTATAGCCCATGATTTAACCCTCCCATGTGAGCCTCTCTCGCTCAGGCGACGATTCTCTCGCTCAAGCGAGAACCCCAGAACTGATACTATAATTTAAATGACTTTAAAATCTAGGGTGTTACACTTCTCGTCCCTAGTGCTCTTAGTTCGAAAAAAAGATGGTAATTGGAGGTTCTTTGTGGACTATAGGGCTTTGAATGCTATCACTATTCCCGACAGGTTTCCCACACCAATGATTGATGAATTACTAGATGAACTCGGAGGTGCCACGATTTTTATAAAATCAATTTACGCTCTGGATACCATCAAATCAGGGTGCCCACAAACGACACCCACAAGACGGCTTTCCGCACTTTCGATGGGCATTGTGAATTTCTAGTCGTATCGTTTAGGCTCTTCAATGCACCATCGATATTCCAATCAGCCATGAGTGATTTACTTAGGCCTCACATCCGACGGTTCGTTCTTGTTTTTTTATGACATTCTTATTTATAGTGCAAATCTGGATGATCATTTAATTCATTTAAAAGTAGTGTTGGGCCTATTAGCAGCTAATCAATTCTTTGCTACGTTGTCAAAATGTTATTTTGGAGTTAATTCTGTTAGTTATTTGGGGCATATCATCTCGACTGATGGGGTTCAACCAGATCCAGATAAAATCTAGGCCATGGTGGATTGGCCACGGCTTCGTTCTCTCACGGCACTCAGAGGTTTCTTGAGGCTCACCGGATTTTACCGCAAATTTGTCAAAAATTATGCCTCTCTTGCCGCTCCTCTCACCGACCTACGACCTACTTAAACAGAATAATTTTACATGGCATGAAGCGGCTCAAGCGGCATTTACAACTTTAAAACAAGCAATGATAAAAACTCCAGTCCTCAAGCTGCTCGACTTTTCTGCCACCTTTGATGTTGAAACCATTGTTTCCACCATAGAAATCGGAGCTGTTCTCACACAACATGGTCACCTTCTCGCCTAATTTAGCAGTCAAGAAATGGCATCAGTATCTCATCGGTCGGAAATTCTGCATACTGACAGATCAACAAAGTTTAAAGCATTTAATATTACAATGGTTACACACACTAGAGCAACAAAAATGGGCTACAAAATTAATTGGTTTCCAATTCGAAATAAAATATCGGACTGGTACCTCTAATCGACTGGCGGATGCTCTATCTCGGCAACATGATGACGAACCAGCCTTATTTTCCGCTTTGTCCTCACCAATTCAAGACCTTTTTTCTCAGCTCCGCAGTTATTACCTCAGAGGAAGGAAAAAACATTATCAACAAAAGTCAGCAAGACGACAAAATGAAGCAAAAATTTCACTTTTCTAAAGGCATATTATTTTATGGACAACAATTATTCATACCTGACTATCACAACATCTGCACATCGATCATCACAGAATTCCACTCTACACCGATGGCGGGCCATTTTTGGATTAAAGCCGACCCTTGCCCGTATTGCAGCTTCTTACTACTGGCCCAGGTTATACAAACAAACAAAGGACTTCATCAAGCATTGTCCACCCTATCAACACAACAAATACATGCCATCAAAACCTCAAGGTCTACTCCAACCATTAACTATTCTAGAAAGAACATGAGATGATATTTCTATGGATTTTATCACCCATTTACTCCAATCTCATGGTCATACAATTAATTATATGGGCTGTGGTGGACAGACTTTCAAAATATGCACATTTTATGGGCTTACCTATTAAGTTCATTGCGGCTGCCTTGGCCAACCGGTTCTTGACAGAAATAGTGCGACTTCATGGTGCCCCAAAGTCTATTGTCCCGGATCGCGACAAACTAGTTTTAAGTTCATTCTGGAAAGAGTTTATCCGACTCTTAGGAACCACTCTCTACTTTAGTTCGGCTTATCATCCCAAACGGACGGCCAAACCGAAGTAGTTAATCAATGCTTAGAGACATACCTTAGATGCTTTTCCGGAGCTCATCCAACACGGTGGTTCCGACATCTTTCCCTTGCCGAGTTGTAGTATAACACATCCAAGCACTCCTCAACCGGATTCTCCCCATTTAAAGTGTTGTATGGACGTCCACCTCCATCATTCACATCCATCTCGACCCACCCACATGGGAATCAACCAGTTACCGTCATCCTACAATCAAGGGCTACAATGTTAGCAATCGTAAAGCTACATCTACTACGAGCCAGGCAGAGGACGCTAGCACAAACACAACATAAAAAACAAGACATTACCTTTGAGGTTTATGATTGGGTTCTCCTCAAACTCCAACCGTACCGCCAGGTTACCGCTGCACGCCGTTTCTGCCACAAGCTAAGCCCTCGATATTTCGGTCCATTCAAGGTTACACGCAAAATAGGGAAGGTAGCATATGAACTTGCATTACCCCGTACTTCTCGGATTCATCCGATCTTTCATGTTTCCCTTTTGTGTCGTTTTCATGGCGATCTCGTAGCAAAGCTGGTTCCGTTACTTGACTCTCTCGAATTCGGTAACCACCAGCATCAAGGTCACGGTCATACAAGAGAAATTTTGGGGAAGAAGAAGCAAGAAAGCAAAAAAAGACCCAACACGGCACCACCGGTTATGGTGGACTACCGGTTTTCCCCTTCGAAGAGAACAAAGGACGAGCCTCTCACATAAAAGTTTTGGCACTTAGAGAAGATGGGGTTTCCATGGCTGAGAAAGAAAATAAATCTAAAGGAAGTGAATCAAATGATACTTTGCACAGAGAGTTGGGTACTTGTAATCTGGAAGTATACCCAAATTATTTTCCACCGTGGGATTCAAAAGTTGTTCACTCACAGCCATCTAACGGTCCCAAATTAAAATTGTTTTCAACCCCACCCCTTGACACGTCTCCCACGCATGTTGCCTCTTCACCACAATTCCAAGATTGTTTTAATGAGGTACAGCTGGGCGCTATAGGTGTCAAAATGGGCGGGTCCGTGCGGGCCGGCCCGCCACAACCCGAAATTTTGTAGGGCTTGGGTATTATATTTGACACTTTTTAGTGAATCCGGGCTTTTTAACCCGGGCCGGTCGGGCTATATTAAAACCGGGTCTGGGCCGGGCTTACCCGGGCGGGTTCGGACTACCCGTTTTCCTTATTTTAAAACTTTTTTGGGACCTTTGGCATGGTATTAAGCTTAAGGTGAAAATTGTTTTACAAAATAACTTATAATAAAAAATAGATAATAAAAATTTGTGGTATTGCATTTGTTTTTATTCCAGTTCCTTCTTGTTTTTTTGGGAAAAAAACAACGGTGGTGGAGTGGTTTTTATCTGCATCTTAGGTTTTTTATTAGAAGAGTAGTAATAATATTATAGGAGACAATCTGATATTAAGTAGCACTAGAACTAATTAACAAATCAGCTACATTAACATTAGTTGGGATTACATTCACTGTTGACTCTTATATAAAACTAATATAAATGAATGTTAGATGATGCATTGATTATGTATAAATCTTTACATATTAACTTATGAGAATTTTGAAAATGTTGACATAAAATGTTAGATAATGCATGATTATGTATAAATCTTTATAGATATTAAGGCTCTATGTTGCTTTAGTCAAAATGCTGAAAATCAAAAGTGTTACATTATCCCCAGCCCAGTTCCCACTAATAGAATCCTTGATTTCATCTCTTTTGTATTGCTCAAATTAACCTGGGATTCAAAATGCTGAAAATCATCTCTTTTGTATTGCTCAAATTAACCTGGGAAAAAGTATCCATCCCTAGTAAAGCTAAGTATAAAATAAAGGTTAGCATTTTATAGTTGTCTTGAACTAACTGACAACAATATTATTTTTTATGTGAATTATGTTATATTTTTACGCTTTTAAAATTCCACTAACTCTCATCCATAAATCAACTTAACAAGTAAAAACGTGAACCAAATAAAACCTTGCACCAAAACCATTTCCCCTTGTATGCACCCTTAAACCATATCTACCTAGACAAACTGTCCTTTTTTAAAATCAAAATCCAATAACATTTTTTAGATGATAAATATTGTGTTATGAACTTTGAATAAATATTTATAAATTACAATAATGTTATCCATTTATTATATTGAAGTGAAGTTACAAATTACATGGGGTTAGAGATTGAGAGTCTAATAGAAATAAGATATTTAATAAATGAGTTATGTTATGAATAATATACGTAGACTTGATATCATGTCTTAACTCAAATACAAGGCATTATATCTATAAGTTTGGTTGCATTGGGTATAACAATTGTATTAAAAAAGTTATGTATTAATATGAAATGATATTTATATATATATTAAATATGTTAAAATTTAATTTTTTTTTTAATATTATGCGGGCCGGCCCGCAACCCGCTTAGGGCGGGTTTGGTCTACATTTTGTTATGCATAAATTGTATACGAGCTTTTTAGTCCGACCCGGTTTAGCCCGAACTCGATGCGGGCTAGCCCGAACCCGCTCAGGTAGCCCGTTTTGACACCTCTACTGGGCACACTGCCCCATGCGCAGCAGGAAAGTATACACAACACATTATCTAAGGAGTCCTCTTTGGGACCAGCAGATATTAATATCCTATTGCCATGCATTCCCAAGCCTGGTCCCCACTCTGATTTATTACAGCCTTTGACTATTCCTTTTCCACCCAAGACACTCTCAAATTTGGTGGACATTTTCTACCCCAATTCTCCGACCGGATTGGGCTCTTCTTCCCTCACAGCCCACACTTTCAACCTTGAGGACAAGGTTCCTCTTCAAGAAGTGGGCAATGATACAGCCCATAGGCACTTATGCAGGCCTAATCGTTTACCCACTTAGCACAAAGACTATATTATGGGTTAATGGACAGTTGTCATCTAATTTATGTCTTTTGAAATTATCCTTGTGTAAGATTCTACCAAGTGTATGGTAGAAATCATGTAACTTTATGTCTTTTGAAATTATCCTTGTGTAAGATCTACCAAGTGTATGGTAGAGATCATTTTATGCTGTCACTTTTCTCCTCTATAAGTTGTGTTGGAAGGATGAAAAAATATATGAAATGAATATTCAGTTTTAGAATTTCCTTGCTTTGATAATATTTTCTTATTTCTGTGTTCAGTTAAGTCTCTCTAAAAAAACATCCTAACAAATAGTCATTTTATCTAAAATTGTGGTAACTTATTTTTTTAATGTAAGGTAATTTTCTCATTAATAATAAAGAGAATGATATAGAATAGTTACTAATAAATCTATAGGTAACAATATGGTCCATACATCACTTATTAAACTTTATTAAAATTATAGGGTTGAGGTATGGAAAGAGAAAATAAATGATCAAAATACTAAACTGTATTGATAATATTATAAATGATTATATGATGATATTATGATTTATTTGATAAATAAAACTTAATATTAACTTATATTTATGCTAATATTAAACTCCTAATTCAATAAGAAAATAAATCATAAAATATGATAATCTCAATCCTAATACATCTTCCAATATATTCTAAAAATCTAAGATATAGTAATTGTATTATCTCGAGATCTAAATTTCATCTAGATATTATCTATAAGATAATTTAGTATGATACTACCATATATTCTAATACTCTTCCTAAAACTAAAGCTCACAAGCTTTAAGTTTGTTATAAATAATTCCCTTTAAAAATGAAAGTAACCAAAATAATTACATAGACTTAGAGGTGGCAAAATTATCAATTATTCATCCAAATCCAAGAAAATTAAATTTATTCGTTAGAGCTAATCAATTTAAATGGATATAATCCAATGAATAACTTTAGTAATGGATGAATTTGATATCATCAATTATATCTAGTGGATATCCATCCAAAAAACAAACATTATAAAGTGATGTTCTTTGTTTTTCAATTTCATTGATTATCTTAACTCTCACTTTCTTTTAGCGTTTCTCAGTCCCACTTTGATTTTTTTATTATATCGATATCAATTATAGGAGATGTAGATTTAATTAATATTAAAATTTTATTCTTAAGTACATAACATATACAAATATTTGTTAAAAATGTGCACTTAGAAACCTTAAACATTGCATAATTGTAGAATATTGCAAAAAAATTAAAGTCGAAAAAAATCACTTTTACCAACAATAAAAACACTTTTTAGAAAAAAGGTTATTTTAAAAATTATTTTTTAGAATGTGTTCTTAAAAAACGTTTTATTGAAATAGTGGTTTTTAAAATAATTATCTCAAATGTGTTTTTAGTTCCAATTAAAAAAATCAAAATGAATTGAATACTCATCCATAATAACCCATCATAATCCATGAAATCCAATTCATCCATTAAATTTGGATATGGATAGATTGGATAATTAAAAAATATGATATAAATGGATTTATATGAATTGACATATGACTTTACATTCATCCAGTAGGATCCAAATCCATTTATTTGCCACTCATACATGGACTTTACCAAACATAACTTCAAGTGGTTTCAAACGCTAACGAAATCCGAAATGGATTAATCAATGATCAATGATGAGTTGTCCAAGCTCTAGGCAAAATAAATTAAAGAATATGAAAACGGTGAATTGGCCAACAATCAATGATGAGATTTGCAAGCTCTAAAAAAAATTGAAGATGGTGAATTGATCAACAATCAATGATGAATTTTGCAAGCTTTAGGAAAAAGAAATTGAAGAAAATGAATTGATCAACGATTAATGATGAGCCTTGTAAGCTCTAGGAAAAATAAATTGAAAAAGATGAAGAGGTTGAATTGATCAATGATCAATTATGAGCTTTGCAAGCTCTAGGCCAAATAAATTGAAGAGGGTTAAGATAAAGATAAGAACGCTTAACCATTCATGACAGAATCTCCAAGGTTAATAATTATGGCCCGAAGCAGATTAACAATAATGAATTGAATTTAAAGAGAAAGTGAATGATGGGAAATTTGTGCCCAAGATTAAAGAAATGAAGAAAAGAACGAATTGAAATTAAGAATGAATTAAATTGTATTAAATGGAATGATGGCCACAAGGGTCAAATTTGAGAATTGATCATCAATAAAGAATAATTGTAGAACACCACCATTTACAAATCACCATCATTTAATTGGTAATTGGAACGACGTTAAGAGCGTTGAGAAGAATTTCGATCAACACAAGAACACAAATATTAACCACAATTAGGCCATGATAGATCTGAACCACACAAGATATAAATCATTTCCACATTTCTATATCCAATGATCCCCTCAAGATGGAGTATAAACATCATATGCATCCAATTTAAAAGGAAGAAAAAGTAGTAGGAGAAACGGAAAATTCTAAAATTGGGATGATAACAACAACTAAGGATCAACTTGAAAAGAAGACAACAACCGAAAAAATAACCGGCAAAAAATCACAAGTTTAAGCTTTCCTAAGGCGGATAACGTGATTCTGATACCATGATGAAATTACAAGGTTTAGGTATGAAAAAAAGAAAAGGAATGATGCAAAATAGTAAATTGTGAATGACGATAATTGTGATTTATTTGATACATAAGACATAACATTAACTCCTATTTATACTAATACTATACCCCTAATTAAATAATAAAATAAACTATAAATTAAGATAATCTCAATCCTAAGAAAGATTCTAAGAAACTCAACCAAATCTAAGATATAATAATGATATTCTCTCAATGTCCAAATATCTCCTAAATAT